CACACACACACACACACACACACACACACACACACACACACACACACACACACACACACACACACACACACACACAGCATATGGACAAACAAACTATGAAGACAAACTGTCGACAGAAGCAGAGCAACAAAGGGTGTCATTAACACCCCTACACATTATTCTTTGATGAATGCACTGCGCCCCTGAATCCAGCATTGGAGAGGTCATTAACACCCCTACACAATAAAACTATCGAAGAAAACCCAGCTTTGATGAATGTACTGCGCCCCTGAATCCAGCATTGGAGAGGCCTCAGAGGTTCAGACGAAAGGACTGCAAACAAAACTGGACCGAGTGTCGGTGTTGAATGCTAAGCAGGGCTGTGGATGGGTTGAGAAGGGCGTCCATCTGCAATGTGCATGAATACGGTCATTGGTTATGGCATTGTGAGTCGCTCTAATGGTAAAACTCTGCCAGACTTTACAGAACCGAAACGTGCCTTCTTCTCGAAGATCTCTATTGTAGGGTGACTATGAGCAACTAATGAGCGCGGACTGCTCATTAGCGTTGATCTAGCCACGCAATTTCCATCACATAAACAATAGCAAACCTGCTTTGCCGCTTCGTAGGTGAGGCACGTAGTCAGACCCTCAACGGCGAGTCCAACAAAGTGAGGCAATTCACATCCCGGATTGCAGTGTCCCTTTGCCGCTTTCTCGGTTATCTGCAAAGACTGACATTCAGTCACCTAGAGGCGATTCACATCCCTGATGACCTGCATTATCAATAGATGGAGCCGCCCGGGGAGGGCTAGCGGTGTCTGCTCTTATCAGCACCCCTAGCGCCACCCGGGTTTTTCCAAAAAAAAGAAAAAACTGTCAATCCATTGCCTTCTATGCGGTCCGACCCTCACGCATTTACAGCAGATGCCTGAGAAAGACTCTTTCCACTAATATACAGACAGAATTCTGATATGCAAATTGCAGATGGACCACAAGCCACATTACCTGATCCGAATGATGAGAAGGTTGATGTGCTAGGAGGCACGCTGAATTCTCGTCTTTTTAAATTATGCGCCCTTCGTCTTAGGCAAAATCAGCATTTTAGATGATGGCTCAGGATCGACTTCATGACGACTACTACGAGTCTGTAGGAGAGCTTTGTTGGACTCAGTTTACTTCTTTTTGAAAATGGCCCTTGTTGTAGGCGCAGCATGTAACACCGCCGCCTTCTTATGAAGTCAAGCCGGGTCAAGGGCGAAGCTGACGATCTGAAGGTGGAACCTGGACGCGGGTGCGACGTGGAGCCGAAGATACTGGCTTGCCTTGCATTTTGCGTTCGTAGCTTGCGAGAACATCTGAAGCTGTTGCTTGGAGTTCCGCACGGGTCAACCAACGGTCAGCTTTGTGGGTGCAGTACGCAAAGTATACCATGTACTCGGTTGGCCTGTTGCCGTAGCGTCGCTGAGAGATGATGTCGCCAACCTCTTGAAAACCGTCCACTGAGGGTGGGTCTTGCGATCGTCGCCCGGGGAAGTCGTCATGTTCCGCTGGCGTGTAAAGAGCCAACTTGGAGCAGTGAAAGACCGGGTAGACGGGCAAGTGGGCGGGCACCTGAATGACAAAGGAAGGTCCTTCGGGTGCATCCCCCGCGGGTGCCACGATCGGCCAGGCCCCATCCATTTCGGGAGGAGCTTGCAAGAGATCTTGTTCCAGGCTGAATTCCGCGGTGGAAACCCAGACAAGGTCGCCAGCGCGGAATGGACAGGGAAGACGCTGGCGATTGGCTTGTTGGCTCATGCGTTGCTGCGTCTTTGCCATCTGGTCGCGTGCCTTGACAAGAAGCTCTTGCATCTGACGAATGAAGAGAAGATGGTCGTCGCTCTCGGCCGCCTGTGGAATGATTGTGTCCAACGGAGAAGTGACCGGCGAACCGTGCTCGAACTCGAAGGGCAACATCCCGATAGTCGGGTGGATGGATGAGTTGTATGCCAACTCGACATCTGGCAGCCGCTCAACCCAATCCTTTTGGTCGGGACGGATGAGAGTGTGAAGGAGAACCTGTGCGGTCTAATGCGCCCTCTCCATTTGGCCGTCGGTTTGGGGGCGGCGAGCCGAACTTGGCTTCAAAGATGAGCCCCATCGTTTGATGAGCGCTAACCAAAAATCGGACATGAACCGAGAGTCGCGGTCGCAAACGATTTCCTTGGGGTAACCCTTGGTTCGAATCCAACCGGCGTAAAGAACCTCGGCCAACTTCGGTGCCTTGGCATGATAGCGGCAAGGCAAAAACATGGCGAACTTGGTGAGTCGGTCGACCACCATGAGAATCCCATCCATACCAGTTTTGTGCTTGGGGAACGGCCCGATAATGTCCATGGCAATCCGTTCCCTTCGGCGCAAGGGGACTGGTAATGGTCGCAACTGTCGTACGGACGATGATTGGGGGATTTGCAACGCCGGCAAACCTCCCATGACTCGCAATAGCGTGTGACATCGTCGAGAAGACCGGGCCACCAAAAGCGCTCGCGGAGTCGGCCAATCGTATGATTGACTCCAAAGTGTCCGGGGGCGGGAGCGTCGTGGAACTCACCAAGAAGCCGTGTGCATAAGTGTAAATCTCGCGGCACACAAAGAAGATCCTTCCCTCGCGAGTGGACGAGCAAGTACCCCTCTTGGATCCGATAGTGCGATGGCACCGGATTGGGAGAGGAGCAATTTGCATACTTGTCACAAAACTCGGGGTCGACTTGGTAGCCGCGGATGAAGCTATCCCGCAAGTCGCGTTAATGTCAAAAGTTGAGTAGACTGCGGTACAATGGTCCGGACGTCGTGAAAGAGCATCCGCAAAACGGTTTGACTTGCCCAAAATGTGGTCGGGCAAAAAGTCAAACTGGTCGATGAAGGCCATCCAACGCGCAATGGTGCTATTGACCGTGTCTTGGGTCTTGTAGAAGACAACGGATTGTTCTCCGTTACCTATCGGAATTGTCGTCGACCGAGAGGAAAATGGCACCAGCGCTTGAGAGCGTGTACGAAAGCCAATAATTCCTTCTTTCGTACGTTGTCAATCGAGTGCACTGCGGGCACTTTCTTGCTAAAGTACTCGATCGGGTGCCAGTCCACATCATCATGTTGCTCAAGGACGACACCAATGCCATAGCCAGACACATCGGTAGTGACACGTATCGACGAAAGTGGATCGTAGATGCGCAACACCTCCGCGGATAGCAATGCGGCTTCGAGGGCCGAAAAGGAAGTCCACGCATTGTCGTCGAAGTCGAATGGCAGCTCCTCGCATTGGAGCTTGGATAAATGAGCCACGATCTTCGAGTATCCCTTGATGAAGCGTTGATAGTAGCCGGCTAAGCCAAGGAAGGAACGGACATTTGTGACGTTCTTCGACTTCGGCCACTCTTGGATGGCTTGGATCTTGTCTGACAACGGACTGATGCTTTCCGGTGTGACAAAATGGCCCAAGTATTCCCGCTCTTGCCGGACAAATTCGCACTTGTCGCGGTTGGCTTTGTACTTGGCCCGGCAGAGCATCTCCAACACTCGTCGAAGGTGCTCAAGATGATCCTCCAATGTCCCGCTATAGACGAGAATGTCGTCTAAGTAGACTAGCACGAACCAGTTCAACATCGCACGAAACTCGTTGGTCATTGCCGTTTGAAAAGTCGTTGGGGCATTGGTGAGGCCAAAAGGCATAATGACCCACTCAAAATGTCCGTACCACGTTTTGAACACGGATTTGTAGCGATCTTGTTGGTGTATCGAGATTTGGTGGTAGCCCGACTTCAAGTCCAACTTCGAGAATAATTTCGCGTCACCCAAATGCTCGAGAAGGTCGTCAATCCGCGGAAGAGGTCCTGCATTCTTGACGGTTTGTGCGTTGAGCTTGCGGTAGTCGATGCACAAGCGAAGATCCTTGTTCTTCTTTCATACGAAGAGAACTGGCGCACCGTATGGTGAGCCACTAGGGCGGATCCAACCCTTGTCCAACAGATCATCGAGTTGCGCGCAGAGAACCGCGAGCTCTTCCTCGCTCATGCGATAGATGCATCCTTTCGGCGGCACGACACCGGCCTCAAGAATGATCTCGTGGGAGATCGGCCGATCTGGCACCACACCGGTAGGAGACTCGAAGATGTCGATGAACTCGTCGAGCAGCCGCACCACTCGGGGGTCGGAAGACAAGTCCGTAGGTGAAGATTCGATCGTCGCGACGGCTCGTAAAAAGCATAGACCTATCTCACCGGTTCGCTTGTAAGCGCAAGTGGCCTGAAAAGACTTGGCCGTTACAACTTGGCACCGGATCGAGGGGTGCGAAAGAGGAATGGTACACGACACCTTGGCGCCGAAGGCATCTCGAACGGTAAGCGTCCGTTGATGGAAGTTAACCGTGTGAGCTGCACTTGCAAGCCAAGGCATCCCCAAAATGATGTTGAAGTCCGTGTCCAAGACGTTAAACGTCACCGGTTCACGTGCATGAGGTGCGAAATAAACCGGCATAACTTCAACGTAGTGATCGAGGAGTTGTTGCGTCCGACCGTCCGCCAACTTGATCACCGTCGGGTTTGGCTTCCTTCGAACTTGTGCGCCAAGGCCGACCCTTTGGATAAAGGAATGGATGATGAAATTGCGAGTCGCGCCGCTATCCAGCAAAGCGTTGCAGGACGCTTGCCCAACTTGGATGCGGACATAAAGGAGTGGTGCGTTGTTATCATCGTACTGCTGCATGCGAAACTCGCGGGCCACCTTGCTAACATACGCAAGGATGTCCCCCACCGCAACTTCGTCATCCGTTGGCGAAGGTGGTGGTGCATAGAAGGCTAAGTATGGGTGGAGATGGGCGCATAGTGCTGCACATTGCGGTCCCGACAAGCAGCCTGTGGAAGGGAGAGGAAGCCATGCAAAATCCTCTGACGTCAACGGGTCCAAGACCTCTATCTTGAACTCGTGTGTCGAATCCCTTGAAGAACCACTTGAAGACGATTCATTGTCGCTGTTGCCGGACGGAAAAGGAGCCGCACACACATCTTGTCCTTGAGCTTGAGAACCCAGCGAAGGAACGAGCCGGGCAGCATAGTCCTCATAAAAATATATGAGACGATTGTCGACTTCCGATGGCGACAAAGGTCGATGGCAAGTTGGGCGTGGGCGCCAAGCGTTGGTACTCCGTTATCCGTGCTTGGCAGGTCGTTCTGATAAAACCATTGAAGTTTCTCGGCTGCCTGAAGCTCAGGCGGCTCCACTTGGAACCACTTATGCCATGCTGCCTTGAGATCAGCCCAACTGATGTTCGTATGCAGCTCGGAGACTGCGACGATGTGCGTGGACAACATGTTGTCCAGCCATGCCTGGCACGCGCCCCCGAGCGGGAGTGTAAGTATGCATGCCGGTTCAGGTTGCTGATGTGGTGAATGTCCAACTTCAACTCGATCTGGCGCCACCATGAAATCGGGTCCGTCTGCACGGCATCGCGGAAGATCGGCAGGCCGTCAAACTTTGGGATGCTCTCGCGAGTAGGTCGGACTGGCTGCGGCGGCACAAATCTGCTGGTCAATCCGCTGATTTGTCGCTAGAGCGCCGTCCTTGAGAGTCCCGACGTCGATTTCCAAGACATTGACGCCGTCCGTCAAGTTGGAGGGTCCGGCGGGGGTGGCTGTTGTAGGCTGCTGTTCCAGCCGGCGTACCCGGTCAAGCAGTTCGTCGATAAGTCGAGCCTGCTTCCGGACCAGGGTGTCCACGCAGAGGATGTCCTCTTGCTGTGCTGCACAGGTGGCGACCAAGTCGCTCACATGTTCGATTGTGGTTGCAAGGCCACACACAGCAGGGGGGCCATCCTCCTCGTCAGCAGCCACTGCCCATTCGCCGACGATCACCTCGATGTCCCCCTTGGATTCAAGGATTTTGTCTCGACGTAGTCGACGGCGTTCGTCGGCGGCCTTCCTTGCTGCCTCGGCGTCCTCCTGTCGTTGTTCAGCGAGGCGATGCTGTTCCTCTGCTTCCTCATCTTTCTTCTTACGTGCGGATGTTGCCGCAGCTGCCCGTTGCTTGAACTCTGCTACCATGTCCAGCATGCGGGTCTCATAGGCCTCGGTAGTCTCTCCCGGCTGCTGATCCATGCCGCTTGTCTTTGAGCGGGTGAGCACCATGCACTGACGTGACCTGCGGCTGCGGTGACTGGTTGCTGACGTGGCAACTCACCAATGCCGCGGCAGGGGGTACCCGGAGACAGATAGAGAAGACCAGGGGGGGCAACAACATAGGTGGGGAGGGGTGGGTTGATCGCCCAGATAAGGAGCCAGCCACTAATCAAAAGAAGCAAAGTTTGAACTTTTGCAGAACAAAAAATTCGAGGAAAAAAAAAAATCCCGAGTTTTGCAAGTTCAGTAGATCTCCCAATCTCCCTTGAAGTGCGAAATTACCAATGAGAAAAAAAAATTCAAACTTTCAGACTGCAAATGATTATCAGATACTGAATCATATAATTGCGAAAAAAAGAATTCCGAAAAGAAAATAAAAAAATATTCGGAATTACTCAGATGAGAGTACGTGCAGTTTGGAAAATGGTAACTGCGTGAGGGATTTCCTGTACCGTTTAAAAAAAAAACGAATTTCGGAAATTCAAAAAAAAATATTCCGGATTTCCAAATAACGGGAAATTGCAAAAGGAAATCGAAATTTCCGAAAAAAAGATATTCCGGATTTCCAACAACGAAATTTCGAATTTCCAGAAGAAAAACGAAAACGGAAATTTCAGGTGTTGCGCTATTGCAATTTTCCACAACAGAAATAGCGGGAAAACAAAATCCAAGAAAAGAAAAAAAAAATCGATTTTCGGCAGTGAGGTCAAAATTGTCATTTTGGGGGCTAATAGTATGCGCTAATCAATCAATCGATAAAAACTAATTAACTACTTAGTCCCCGCACACGTGTCAGATCAGGTTGTCCTGATTCACGTGTGGTGCTCCGATACCAATTGTTACATGCTCAGTTCGGCAATGTATGTAAAGCCAAGGATCCACAATGTGATAAAAAGGACTGAATGGAAAATGCAGTGCTAGTGGGATCTCAACAACCAATGCACATCCTGATACATACAAAATGGTGCTTTGCAGCGCAGTGGAAGACTTAGATAAAAGTCCTGACCTGACCGGGACTGACCTCCCTCACGTAGTACAAGACAGCGTAGCGAAATGCTAGAATACCAATGACTAACCCAACCAATGTCGCAATGCAGACCCAACATACATCATCCTCATCACAAGGTGTGAAGGGGCCTGGCGCTATACACAGGAAGAATGCGCCAGGTCCAGACCATACACAGACGAAGAGGAGGGGATCAGACGAAGAAGAAGGGGGAAGATGGGAATGTCGTCAACACCAAGTCTTCGGTACAAGTCCCAGATAATGTCGGCAAACGTCTGCTGATGTCTGAAGCCCAATGTCGAGTCTGGATCCAAATGTCACCAAGCCCACTCTCTCGTAGTCTGCTGATGCAGTGAAGTCAGGTAGCGAGAGGGTGAGAGGGAGATGGTGGGCTGAGAAGAGGAAGAAGAAGAACTCTCTCTCTCTCATGTGCCAGGTACTAACCTGTGAAGATGGCGCTGTGCTGCAGGTACCTCGAAGACGAAGCTGGAGCTTTGGCGCTGCAGGTAAGTCTCCCTGGCCTCCGCCCAATCTCTCTCTCTCTCCAGTACTACTCTAGCTCCTACTAGCGCCCAGCGCTGAAGACTACTGCTAACACTACTACTACTACTGCAGCGCTCCTCCAGAGTGCTGCTGCCGAATCCTGAAGACTACCTCCTGCCTCCTGAACTGCACGTGAAGTGCCTATGAACAACCTGCAGCCTGCAGGGCGGGCCAGTCTTATATAGTGCTGGCCCGTCCAGGAGGCTGCTCTTGCCAATGCCAAGACGTGCCAGACCCTGGCGTTGAATCTCAAACAGAGGTGGTCTTGAAAACAGGCCCAAAATGGCCTGTGCTAAAACCCTGGTCTGGTGCTTGAGTTTCAGGGCAGGTCGATCTTATGAGGGCCTGAAAATGGCCCTCCGTTTCAGGCTGAAAAGACTCAGGGCCTGGAGGGCCCTGTTTTAGGCTGAAACGACACAGGGCCTGTAGGCCCTTGTTTTCAGGCTTTCAGGCTGAACGACACGGAGCCTGAAAATGGCCCTTGTTGTAGGCGCAGCATGTAACACACACACACACACACACACACACACACACACACACACAGAGCGCGCGCGCGCGAGAGAGAGAGAGAGAGAGAGAGAGAGAGAGAGAGAGAGAGAGAGAGAGAGCATGAGTGGCAAGGTTCTCTCTGCAATGGTCAGGGAAAAAGGAAGAGTGGGTTGGTGGGTGGGGAAAAGTTGCATAAAAAATGGACTCCTGATCAATCTCCCCTCCCCAGCACACCGTCCCTTCTGAAGAGGTGTGGCACCCTCCTCACACCGAAGCCATGACAATTCTTTTTTTTTTTTAATATGAAAAGGGATCCTTTCTATATTGGTGGGGATCAGCACCTGCTGGAAACCGGGTCCAGCGTCCCTAGAAATAATACTTGTTACTCCCTGTCATTGCTTCCCCGTGTTACGGCCGAGGGAACCCTGACAGTATTGACTTCTTCCCTCGATAAGGATTATGTATGGGCATACTCTTCCCCTTTATATTGTCCACCCTCCCCCCGTCCCTGTTAAGAAAAAGGTACCGAAACGAGCCAGAGTCGTCCCTCTCAGCCCACCTTGGTGAACTGCCAGAAATCCAACCACCCCTAGGAGAACTCTGACCTCCTCTGACTGACTAACACAACCAGGGAGTCTGACTTTACAGTTAGTGCCTCCCCCGCCCCCTCCAACCCTCCATTCAGTTCCAGCCTTCCTTTGCCCTGAACCTCTTATCCTGAGGCCAGATGAATACTTCCTTCCTTGACAAGCTTTGCATCGAGTCCGCCCCCCGGGGTATGCCCATATTTGATCCTTCCATATCACTGTTCTTCCAACTGAATTTGATTGAACCTCCTTCCAGTCTGCTAAACTTTCCTGCGCCGAGTGTGTTTTTTCACGAATTTGTCCCCGGTCTCCTCCTGCTGCTTGTCTGGGGTTTTCTTGATCTGTTTCCTTTCCCTGTGCCACTCCGTGAAGTATTCGGTCTCTTTAGCATTTGCATGAGGCCCTCCTGTGCCTCTTCGCCGATGTCGATTGGCTCTCTATCGTCTCTTTGCACCTCCATTGCGCCAAGGGTTTCTATCTCTGAGACCCTCCCACTGCGACCCTCCCATTGAGACCACCCTCTCATTGAAACCCCCCTTTTCCATACTATCTATAGAGCCAAGGGTCTCAATCTTCGGAGCAAAAAAATAGAACTGCCCGTCCTTCTCCAACCCCAGTATCCTCTTGGTTCCAGGAAGCCTGTGCACGTGGGGAGGTTGTCGTCCGGCATTAGTTTGTTGGTGGAATTGAATCAGGCAATGTCGGACATAGTCCTCCTATCCCTGTGACGAATTGTACAGAGTTCCTTGTCGTTGCTCCTGTGAACTTGTGGGTTCTGCGTCTGTTCATCCACGTGACAACTGGGAGTGCCAGGTGCGATATAAGCCATTGCAGGCTTGTTCTCCCTGCCAAACTAGAGTTTCAAGGGAGTTTTTTGACAGCACTTCCATGCCGCCTGCCAGGTGCTTCCTTCGCCATTGCCATGACCATTCTACTCCCTGAGGCATTCCACCTTCAACTTTCACGCTGAAGAACCCTTGATGGAGGCGTATGCCGCACCCCTGAAGGAAGCATCATGGTCCACCCAAATTTAAATGACATACAAATTGATACAGCTCTCAAGATGAAGAAGGGGACTTGCCCTCCTCCCCAATCTGAACATGTCACCCATGAAGGTGCTCTCCTGCGATCCTGGCCAATATCCCGCCAAGTTGGCGCGCACCAGTCCCACGGCCAGCCGACTCCTCCGACTATCTTTCTCCATATTCTGTTCCACCATCACCAGGTCAGGACCGAGGATGGGCACTGAAGGAAAATGTGCTTTATCGTCTCCTCCATCTTCTGTGAGGGGAAACAAAAGAGGCATCTTGTGCACGATGGTAAAGTGAGGACTTTTTGTTCTAGGTTGGTGTGGTCTCTGAGCCAGTTGTACATGGGTGGTAGGCAGCTGTGTGTAATCTACTAATATAGTAATCTCCCACTGCAACGAGGGGATCTTGGCCAGTTTACATTTCGTGTCTTGGAGCCACCCACCCGATCGGCTTGAGGAGCTGACCATCAATATTCAGGTGCTTCCTCCATCTGTCATTCACCACATCCCGCAAGTTTCTTGTGACCCTGAGCATTCTGTATGATGCCTTGACATTTAGCTGGAACAGCAACTTCCTCTTTTCTGCCGCGCTTCCCTGCTTAGATGCACACCCAGTGCCACTCTTGAGGGTCCAGGGCCAGTTCAGTGATCGGCGTGCCAGGTAGGAAGGCCCTTAGTTCCTCCCATTCTCCCAGGACCCGGACTCGGCACACCTCATTCTTGTCCAGCTATACAAAGGGGGCACAGCTACCTGTCAGCCTGTCCTCGTACCCACAGACTAGAACTCCACCAGCATATCGTCAGGGCGCACGATCTGGATCCTCCTACCTACCCTCTCCACCTCCCCAACTTCGGCTATCCAGTAAAGGTGCATTCTTGCCATGGAGGGGCTAGGGTGGAAGGGGAAAACCCGAATGAAAAGATGAAACAGCAAATTTAGATGGAAATCTCTCACAAATGGCAGATAGTAAGGAACACTCTAGACCTTCTTAACACGCCTAGAGATCTCAAGAACAAAATCGCACATACTTGGAAAGGAGGGGAGGGGGGGAGTCAGCAGCAGGGATTATCAGCTCGTCTTCAATGATTGGACAAAGATGGGCCCCTCCTTCCCCCTGAGACCTGCAACTGAATTCCCTGACCCCTTTTCCCCCCATAGTCGGTCCTTAGATGAAACACTTTGGTATGGTCTCCGATCCGGAGTCGGGGAATTTCAAGAGGGTCAACTCTGAAACATAGTTGCCCTTCAGGGAGGTAGAAACCTGGATCCGGATCTCGAGTTGATCTACAGCCCACAGGCAGTTCATCAACCATCTCATACTTATCTGATGGAATCGCCCATAGAGCTGAAGCCAGGTAAAGAGAGGCTTGGTGCTTTGGGAACCTATTGTATTTGGATGGGA